ATCTGGGATGTAGCCAGCTGATTAGTAACAAATGTTATTGAATTGAAGGTAACTCTTGAAGGTTGATTAAATCAGGTAAAAACTTATAGAAGGTGTAAATCATCGTTTACAATCAACGATGCCCAAAGTTAACCAGGAGCATTGTAACACATCCTAATTAATTCTAAATTTTAAGGAGACGTCTCGTTAGGGTAAAATCTAGTATTAGAATGCCCAACTACATCTTAGAAAATGGTGGCCAGAAGAAATAATTGGTGTTACAATTATCAAATTAAATTTTTTGAATTAAAAAGTTAATATGATTATGAAACAATTTTTCGGTTATACACAAACTATGGAAATAGATATAATGTAGATTCGCCAGGAGTACTGCACACCCTTAGTGGACTTTAAGATGTCTGAAGGAATATTTGCTGAAAAATTAAAAGTTCATTTTGATAGCTTCACAACTTTATGATCTGTGTCAGTATTTGACTAGTGACCGGTGTTACATCTGATCACAAAATGATTTTAAAAATAGATTAGGTAATGATCTTATTTCCTTTAAACAACAACCTATATAAACTTGCTAAAATGCTATTGATCATGCATACAAAAAGTGTCTATGAAGCTTGACCCTACAGCCTATGTACACTTACTCCATGAAAGCCAGGTTTTGGAGTGAAGAATTTAACAACTTCTGACGCTCCATGTCCAAGGCATGATGCTTGTGTGCCGCCAGCAAAGTAAGCTTCTATTTTCGAAGCTTCTTCAGTATCCTTTTCGCACATCCGTTTAAAAACTGTTCTTATCCTTTTACTTGAGTGGTCCGTCCAGTAGTAACTGTTGTTTTTAAATTCTTGCAGTTCCAAGAAAAATGTGTTCTTTAAGACAAATCCTTTTGGGGAGGGGATTTTAGAGAAGATTTTATCAAAATACTTGAATCTGTTCTGAATCTCTCTTGGTGCCCACTTTTCCACTTTGAGGCAACTAAGAACCATCTTACAGGCCAGAAACACTTGCCGCTGGTCGTCAGTCAGATTCTTCATGATTTCATTCTCTGCTTTTGCGAAGGAGAACCTCCACTCGCCGTTGCCAATGCTGTTGATGTAGACTGACTTCAGGTGAGGCGGTGTGAGAGGAGGCCTCGGCAGATCTGCTGGCCAGGGAGCCTCCATGGTGGGTACGATATCCACATCCACCAGCAGTAAAGGGAACTCCTTACCCGTCCAGGCAAGGCTGAGTCCCACCCCAACCTGAGTCTTTTTTATCCCAGGTGGAATAATAGCTATTCTCTCATCTTCAGGTTCAAAATTTGTTATGCATTCTTTAACCAAATTGTAAAATGTGTGTAAGAAATTACTTCCTTTAAGAAGGGGAATAATGCCTTGGCTGTTTGATGATACATTAATCTTTGTTCTGCAGCCAGTATAAGAAAGTCCCACTTCTTGCAATGACACTTGTAGGTCTCCATTACCAAACCCATGTAAATTGCTTAATACAATGTTATAGTCGAATTCGTCTGGACAAAAAAGCCTTACATTGTCTGCTGAACTTCCCAGCATTAGGAGTTCCCCACTGAACACCGTGTTTTTATTTGCAACTGAATTTTGCACACTCTTTACCAGGTTGAATACAGCGTCTTTTATAACATGTGATTCTCCCCTTGTATAGTTAACATGGACTTTAGCTACTGATTTTTCTATGCCGTCCGACTGCCATTTTTTCTTTAATTCATTCAAAAGAGCTTCTGTTCTTTGAGGGCCAGTGTTCGTTTTCTGCATGTCTATATCTAGCAGAGACTCTGAGTCTAATTCATATAGCTTCAGGTAGTTCTTGTAGCCATCTAATAGATCAATAGCTGTCAGCCCACATCTGTTTACTTGACCTGTCCTTAAAAAGTCCCCTAAATCCTTGTAGCCATACATACAGGCATAGTGTGCAGGTGTGTTGCCGAAACGGTCCTTTGCCTCTCGCTCCGTGACCTTTGTTGCTGGAAGCGTTAAAAGTTCCGTGACTGACGAGGTACCTGGCTGCGGAAGCGTTGTTCTTCAGAGCGGCGTAATGCAAGGGCGATGCCCGACACACTTCCAGTTCTTGATCGACCTTCTGGCCTCCCACTTGCACCAGGAGATGGAGAAACAGTGGAAACTCCTTTTCACAACTCAGAACCAATGCTTTCTCTATGATTTTACTAAACGTGTTCAGTGGCATATTTCTTTCTCTATTACTCATTACTACATTAGATGCAGAATGTTTGGCCCGCTTTTCAATAATGAATTCCAAACGGTCGTTGTAGGTAACGTCATCTGAATCTTTACTTTCAGATAATTCATCATTAAGCCACCCGAAGACTGCCTTCCAACAAAGTGTTCCATTATGAGTATCCATATCTTCTGAATACAGTGAAAGGAGAAGTAAGATAAACTGTTTTACTTCCTGTTTCTGGGCAGGCTCTCTCGCTTTTTCCGATTCATCAGCCAGACGTTGATATTCTCTCCCCAAAGAAGCCTGCAAGAGAAATTAAAACTAATAATTTATAAACTGTAAGCTAGACACATACATGTATGTGTGCGTGCGTGTATTTACATATATATATATATATATATATATATATATATATATATATATATATATATATATATATATGTGTGTGTGTGTGTGTGTGTGTGTGTGTATAAACACATATAAACAAATATATACAATCACACACACATATATATATGAGAAAGATAGAGAGAGAAAGAGAAAATATTTTAATGGCTGAAACTAATAAATGTACTAGTCATCAAGGACAGATAGCACTATCGTAAATTACAGTAGCGAAAAGGGTTAGGAATAAGTGATTGATTTGGGTAAATTTAGAGGTTGAACAGTACTAGAGGGTAGTATGGTAGTGAGAAGGGTAGAGATAAAGAACTGATGAGGTATAGTAGAAGGTAAAATTAGAAGAGGAAGGCGTTAAGGGAGTAGGACAATTAGATTAAATGGAGGATATTTATGTACTAGAGGAAGAAGAATAGGATAAAGGAAAAGGTAGGAGATTCCGATAGACCGTGGGTCAGGGAAGTGAGAAGAAATGAGGATAAGCAGAGATACGGTTTGCTGTGAAGATTGGACAGGTATGAATCTAAACAGAAACCAGCCAGCCCCATCATGAGTGTCAGAGTGGGCTCACACACCATCGCAGGGGTGGTTCACTTCGAATGTTATGTAGTTCAATAGTGGTAAGGCCAGACCATAAAGACTGCCAGCAGGTGAAGAGGAAGGTTTTGAAGTGAGGGTAATAGCCAGAGGCTGGTGTGTATATATATAAATCTGAATTGATGGGATGCGGACAAGGCGGCAGACTGTGCTGTAGTGTCTGCCTGTTCATTGCCTGGGATCCCAATGTGGCTGAGTATCCAGCAAAAACTGCCTGTGTTGTATGGTTGGTATAGCTGGTCCTGAATTTTGTAGACAAGAGGGGGTAGAGATTGTGTAAGAGATAGAGTTTTTGAGTCGGCACACACACATACACATATATAAATGGAATATGCAGAAATTCATAGCTGATAGCACAGTCAATTTTCGTACCTATAATTATAACGCCTACAAATTCCTCAATATCCTAACGCAGGCCTAGGCATACAGAGGTTTGACACACACATCCTCTTATGTTATTCTTCTTCGAATGTCAGGAGTGTGAGGGTAACTACTTATCTCTGCCAGCTGAGGACCCGTAGGTTAAACATACTTGAGTAAAGAGAACCATACCTTCAAAACTTGCCGTCTTGAAACCTCATCTGGTATGAGGTTGATGGGGGCCCGCCCCTTGTTGTCCCGCAGGAAGAGGTTTGCCCCCATGTGGAGGACGAGGGAGATAGCTGTGTCGAGGTGTCCCGAGTCAAGGGCCGCGTGTAGGGGTGTTCTTTTGTCCTTATTCTGGGACACGGCACTGCCGCCGCTGTGCCAGATCCACCAAGCGAATGTGGTTGCTCCATTGGCACAGGCTCGGAACAGCAGACTGTCTAGTGTTATTGCAGAGTTTTCTGGTATGCTGACCTTTGCATCCCAAGGTTTCTTTCCTTCCAAGGAATTCACTAAATATTCTGCGAAAAGCTGCAAGTCGGCATCCAGGAGCGACATTTCCATCAGAATCTTGTGGATCACAGCCTGTGGTGATGTTTTATTGTTAAGTACATTGTAAGAGATGTGGCATAGTGCGCACATGTGAATGGAATCAGCATACAGGATATTAATGGGTAAACCAGCACATGTGCTTTACTTGAGGCTTGATTTTGAAAACATGCCTATTTTCCTAATTTCAACGAGACTTTAGATAGAAGATGCACAATCTGAGGTTTTGGATAATTTGAAGATGTCTTCCCATTATGTTTAGTATATGTATGATATTGACATATATGTAACCTTTCCCTTTTTAATCATGAATGTTATAAAAACATGTTCCTTATATAGCTTACCCTTGTAACAACGACTCCAACCCATGTTGTGACATCTGGGGTCATCCATGCCAACTGCACTGGACCAAAGCCATCAGAAGACGACGTCATTGGCGCTCCAGCAGCTAGTAGAAGTGGCAACAGAGGAGTGCAATTGGTTGCAATGGCAAGGTGCAGCGGGTAGCAGGAGTGTCCTTCCGGGGGCTCCAAAGGGGCACCGGACGCTAGCAGTGAGGAGGCCTCCTTCACGGCTGCCAGGCGGGCGGCCTGTTCCTCGTTATCTCCTTGTACGTCATATTTTGCTGCTTCCGATATCAGATTCAGCAGGCGAATATAAAGCTTGTTCTTTTCGCAATCCTGGAAAAATAAGTAAATAAACAGTTGAATTTGCATCAACATCCTTTAGACATTAAATGAATATCACATATTGACAAACAAGGAAATCTGTTAAGATTATCTAACATTTTCTAATGTATGTATAGGCCTTTTTTGTAGCATCCCTGAAACCCCAGTTCGATACACTTTGATACATAATTGCCCTTTATGCGCACATTATTGGAACATGAAACATCTTTTCATTTTGTATCAAAGTGTTTGCCTCTCTCTTGCTACACTCTGGCTAGCCAATCAGTGCGCGATGTTTTCTAGATATAGTTCGCGCATACTCAGACAGGAATTTATATTTTCATTAACATACAAATATATTGATATATACTGGACTGCCGACAGGGGGAGGGGTAGACGGGGCAACGACTCGGGGGCCCGGGCCTCGAAAGGGACCCATAAAAATTTAGTGGTCGCTTATTTGACCTAAAACAACTCCGGAGAATCTTGTAAGAATAGCCAAAATTTTGCCATTATCGGTTAGATAAAAAATAAGGAAGGGGTTCAAAAAATGCCCCCAATCTTCTGCCAAACTAGCAATATTTTTGATGATTGCTCTTGATTGTAAATTCAAGTAACATACAGTAAATTAACATAAAAGCGTAAGGGAAAAATAGATGTTTCCTATTTGAAAAAGGCGTTTCCCACCTAAAAAGGATGTGGCCCTGAGGGCCCCGACCTGCTCTTTGCCCCGGGGCCCTGCATATATATACATATATGTATACATATAATCACATATATACATATATTTACATATATACACATAAAAAATATATGTGTGTGTGCATAGACACACACACACACACACACACACACACACACACACACACACACACACACACATATATATATATATATATATATATATACATATATATACATATATATATATATATATATATATATATATATATATATATATATTATATATACATAATATATATATATATATATATATATATATATATATATATATATATATATTATATATATATATATATATATATATATATATATATATTATATATGTAATATATATACATATATATATTATATATATATATATATATATATATATATATATATATATATATATATATATATATGTATATACAGATATGTATATACATATATACTGTAACTGTCAGCGGACAAGATCTCACCTCCTCCTCCTGTATTTCCTTCTTATATCCTTATATATATATATATATATATATATATATATATATATATATATATATATATATATATATATATGTTGAAACACACACACACACACACACATATATATAATATATATATATATATATATATATATATATATATATATATATATATATATATATATATATATATATATATATATATATATATATACATATATATGTTGATATATATATATGCAATATATATATATATATATATATATATATATATATATATATATATATATATATATATAGATATATATATATATATATATATATATATATATATATATATATATATATATATATATATATATATATATATATATATATATATATTATATATATATATATATATATATATAGTATATATATATATATATATATATATATATATATATATATATATATATATATATATATATATATATATATATATGGTAATTTGCTATATTACGTCCGCATACTCGATATCGACGATTTTGGTATCATTGGATTCCTCTCACTCTCCACATTGCAAATATATAGTTTTTATTGCGCGCTAACCCCCCGTTAGCGACAAACTTGGCCCCGATAGCAGGGGAGGGCATGGGAGTTCCAGGGAAAATGCGGGGTTAAATAGCACTAATAATATAACGCACAGTGAAAATAACTATGGTTATTCACATAACTTTCCATTGCAGGGGGCTGTACCCCCTGCGACCCCCCCTGGGGGGGCTGCCGCTCCCCAACCCCCGCCGAGGAAACAAAACCTCCACCACGTATTTCCGGCAGGCTAGAGCGTTACACAATCCTCGTCGATGTCGGAGCGGCGGGCGTAATATTACAATTACCTCGTAAGATTCCCACTGAATCAGCATATTAACCTTATTATAATCAGCATTGCATATAGAGACGATTGTAGTATAATCAGGATGAACAGGGTGGCCCGCCCTAGCGGCGGGTTTTGCGCCTCTTTCGATGTTACACCGATGGCCTCAAGGTCGATTTTCCCTTCCTCTGGAATAACGACATTCGTATTCCTAACCGAAATAACCGTCGCGTTCAGAAGTCAGTCATAGCCGCCGCGATGGCCGAGTGTGGAGGGTGCTCGTATTCGGAGAAGGATTTTCTGCGCGAAATTGCAACTAGCCAGGAAAAAATGCTAGAGATGTGCCGCCACGGCCTCCTCCGTCGGGAGAAAGCCTGCGGCAGGTGCGGGCAGCCAGCACGCCTAGACCTGAAAAAGAAAATACCTGCCGGACGCACCCTGCTTCCTTCACATTCTGCGGCAAAGGAGCACCCTCCCTACTAATTAGCGGCATTAATCAATCAGGTTAGTACCTTAAAAATCCTAGGTTATTGTAGGTTATCGGCTCCGCATATAGTTCGTGTGCGCTCTATCCTGCCGTGAATACGTGGTGGAGGTTTTGTTTCCTCGGCGGGGGTTGGGCAATGGAATGTCATGTGAATAACCATGGTTATTTTCACTGTGAGGTTATATTATTAGGGTAATTTTATATATTACGTCCGCCGCTCCGACATCGTCGCCCCCGCTATCGGGACCAAGTTTGTCGCTAACGGGGGGTTTCTGCGCAATAAAACCTACATATTTGCATTGTAGAGTGAGAGGAATCCAACAATACCAAAATCGTCGATATCGGTTATGCGGACGTAATATAGAAAATTACCATATACATATATATATATATATATATATATATATATATATATATATATATATATATATATATATATATATATATATATATATATAAGCATATAAAGCAACGCATTATGTCCGCGTTGTGGAGAGGTTTATATAAGACTTTGGTCCTGGTGACAAAAGAAAAAAAAAAAAAGAAAATCGCAGAAGTAACAGCATAAATCTAACACAAATAAATGTACTTGTTCAAGTAAGGGTACTCTACCGTTTCTTCAACTTTGACCTCGTCTGCAATCGCCTTTGCAGCCTCCAGGTGGCCCTTCTCCCGGGCGAGGTCCGAGGGCGTCTTGCCGTCGTGGGTGCGGGCGGTGGGCAGGGCGCCGCGCTCCAGCAGGACCCCGATTTTGGGTCGGTCGCCCTGCTCCGCCGCCACGTGGAGCAGCGTCCGGCCCCGCTCGTCCTGGTAGTGCATGTCGCAGACGCCGAAGTCAACGGCAGTGGCCAAGGCTTCCGCGCTCGCGTTCTTCTCTCTGCAGTAAGCGTGGTAGAAGTCTCCGCTCTTCTTGTATTGTCTCATGCAAATATTCTGAAATGAAGGTAATTGGTTGTATATTATACATGAATTGATACTGCTCTGTGGCTTAAAATACTTAATTCACATTATCAGTCATTATTTCCTTGGAAGGCGAGTCATTACCATTAAGTGTTTCAGGTCTTGTAAACTGTCAATTGCTTTCTTGTTGAGCCACCAGGCTGTGTGAACATGGCCGCGGATGAGAGCTGTGTCCTCTGCACTCAATTTCTCCTTGTCACGTGTAATGACAAGAGTATCTTCTAGTTCAACAAGTTTCTGGACAGTGGACAGCCTTCCATGTAAGGAAGCCTTGTGAAGGACTGAGAGTCCCCTGTCTGTCCGAATGTTTATGTCTGCTCTCTCTTCCACCAGCAGCTCGATTACGGAAGTGTGTCCGCAAAGAGCGGCATAATGAAGAGGTGTGTTATTTTGGTTGTCTTTAACATTAGGATCGGCTCCATAATCGAGCAACAATTTGACCAAAATGACCTCATTTCTGAGAGCAGCATAATGCAAAGCAGTGTGGTGGGTAGGTTTTATTTTTAACGTCTGCATCATTCATTAGTAACAGTTTAACAACTTCTGTTTGGCCCGCCAGTGATGCACAGTGGAGGGGTGTATTGCCCTCTGGTGAAATAGTATCTGGGTTCTTAAGCACAACTAGCATGGGCTTTTCCTCTCCATATCTTGCATATGCAAGAAGTGTTTCATTGGTTGCACCTGGATTGTTTACATCAAGACCCTCCCATCCACACAATAGTTTTGCAACTTCAGTCTTTCCATTTAGTGCAGCAAGATGAAGTGAGGTGTTACCACTTTTATTCGAAAGGTTTGGGTCCGATTTCTTGTCCATTAACAATTTCGCAACCTCGATATGGCCTTCGTAAGCTGCGTAATGGAGTGGGGTGTTATTGGCACTTGTAACCGCAGAGGGGTCTTCGCCCTTTTCGAGTACCTTAAGCACCTCTTCAGCATCACCTTGACGTGCTGCTTTGTGAATATCTTCCATATTTTCGATATCTAATACAGATTTCCTATTCTCAGTTCTCTCAATAACATTATGCACTGACTGAATATGGGATGAATATACACTCTCCCCATTTTTCTTTGGATTAACCGGTGGAGCGCCATTTTGTTTACCATTGGCTGATTCCGCTGTAAGGGTGACATCAACATTATCTGTTCTCTCAAAAGGATTATTCATTACCGGACCGGTTTTCTCTTCCCGGCGGGGTAGCGTATTTTTACTTGCTTTCCTGCCATCATGGACAGCATTATTTTCTCTCCTCTCAACATCTTGTTCTAATGGACTGCCTGAAGAAACAATCTTGCCCGTATTCTTTTCTAGACAAGGCAGTGTAGTTCTGTCTGCTTTACAACCAGCTGATTCTACTTTATTGTCCATATGGACACCATTATGTTCTTTCTTCTCAATCCCATTTTGGCTTAATTTACTGTTTGGTGAAACAGTTTTGTCAGTATTCGTATTTTTACAGGACAGTTCATTTTTGCTTGTTTTACAGTTGGCTGCTTTTACTTGATGGTTTACATGGTCATCATTAATTTCTGTCTTTTCTACACCATTGTGTCTAAATGAAGTGACTGGCATAACGGTATTCTTAATCACATCAAAGGTTTCTATGCCATCAGTCGATTCATCGTTGTGTATATGGATAGCCTTCTCCAACTCCTCTTCCTTCTCCTCCTCCAACTCCTTTTCCTTCTCCTCCTCCAACTCCTTTTCCTTCTCCTCCTCCAGCTCCTCTTC